TTATTGCTGTATCTTTACTTCTTTTCTCACTTATTACTGCAATAATAATCGCATATGCAGTGAATGGCAAGTGATTAGCATTGATATTTTAAATGAATTAAATCTAAATTTAAGTGTTAATTTGAAATTGCGTCAATTTTTGTATACAATTCAAATTTTTTTTTTATTTTAATGACATTAATTGGATGTAATTAACAAATATAAAGCATAATTAATAGCTATGTGTTAAATCATGTAGCTTTTAAGAATTTAACAAATTAAACGTGAAAATTATTTGTGTGAACGTAATATGTCTAATAATTAAAATACAATAAGTAAGAATCTTAAATATTTAATTAACTTTGACCAAATCTAAATTAAAAATAAAAAATACTCTTAATGAAAAAAATTTTTCATCATTTCAGTGCTTATTATCAGATTTCCATCATCAACCACAGCTCATCAACCATATCCATTTATCACTTCCACCTTATCACCAAATTTTACCATTAAACCATTTCCACCACTATTCCCCACTCCAATACCACCATATAAGCCACCAATCATCACAACACTTCCAATTCCAACAGATCATCTTCAAAAACAAACATTCCTCTGCCAAATATTCCTCTTAAATCAGGCTAATGAAATTTATGCAAATCATAATCGTTTCGAATATCAACAAACATCACAAATGATTCAGAATGTGGTATGTTTTATTATAAAAAATAAAAATTAAAATAGTTTTATTTTTATTTTTTTTTAAAAAATGTACAAATTTTTTATTATTATTTAGTTGTTACAAAATAATAACTATCAAATATTTTTTTATCAACGATTATATGAATAATACTCTTAGGGCAAATTTTAAACTATCAAAAAATGTATTCTAATATTTTATTAGTGATTAGCATTTCCCATTCCAATACTATGTTTTAATTTTACTTTTGTTTTATTTAAATGATTATGAGTATTATCAACAATAATAATACAAATGTATCCGAATCGAGAATTAATCATTTTCGTTTTTTTTTTTTTTGGAGTGAATTTTTTTTTTTAAATTAAACTTTTTACTTTTCCAGTTTAAATCGTCTCAATAGCTCAAATTATCTTAAGTTATTTGGAAATCTATTTTTTGCTAATGCTATATTTAAGTTATATATTAGTAAAAATTTCACCTACATATATGATTTCTGATATAATTGAATACAAAAAAAATGGAATAACAGCGATATAAAATTTTCAAATAATTTTATTTCAGATATACAACCAACTTAAGCAAACGCCTTTACGGCCATATCTGGAAAATGTTTATGTGTGGTATTTGTATAATAGGTAAAAATTTTTTAATAAATTTTTTTTCATAAAATAAGTTATTCTTTTATTTAGTAATTAAAGAAAAAAAATTATTTATTTTATATTTCAATTTTCATTTTCATTTTTTTTGTTTGTTTTCTAGTGGTCCTGATCTTGCTGTCGAATTTTCCATCATATTGCTTACACCATCACATCCAAATATTGGTGTAACATCCGTAAAAAATGTTTTCATTAGTGTTTTACCGGAAATTGAAGATCAATTAAATGGTACTCATATTGATAAAAATAAAATTTCCATACAATACCTTTATCATCATTAATCGCTTTTTTTTTTCTTTCCTCTTTTGACGTTTCATTTGATGTAAATATATTCGTTTTCCATTTGTTTGTAAATTATTCATTAAAATTTTGACAGTATTCAATGAAGAGCCAAAAAAATTTAAAACCAAAAAATTTAAAAAGATAAAATGTTCGGGAATTGATTGAAACAAGCATCAAGTAACGAAATGATTGATAATTTGGAATATTTATAAATGAAAGGGAAGAAAATAGGCGCTAAGATCAAAGAGAAAAAAAAGAGGAAATCGAATAGGATAAACAATAAAGAGATTAAAGAGTGGGAAGTTGTTTTAGCAAATAAAGCAAATATTGAGAAAGGCTAATTAATTAATTAATTATTGCCTGATACTGTAGGATCTTAAAAATTTTTCACAATTATCTAATTTTTATAGCTATGGAAATAGGTGTATATACTCTATCATATATAAATTTTTTTTCCTATTATTTTATCATTAAAAACAAAATTAGTAAATTTTGAATTTCTCGAAATCTGATAAGAGATAACTATGCTGTGTGCACATTTCGATATTGAATTATGCACTAAAAGTACATTAACGAAATGAAAAAAAAAAAGCAAATTTAAATGTTTAAATATTACCATGCATTAGTCATGTATAAAAGATATTTTTTATTATTGTTATCACTAATATTATTATCGTTATCATTGTTATTATTCTTACTATTTTCTGTCTTCTTTATCAGCATATAACAACTTTTTTATTTTCTTTTTTATCAGCGTAATCAGTGTGTAACAAATATTTTTTATCAATTTATTAATTTACGAATAATAAGGAATAAATTTGAGATTTGGATTTGTTTAATATTGGAAAATTAATATCACAATTGATAAAATAGTAATTATTAGAATAAATTACGTCACAAAAACTATAAGTATCTATTTAAGTGGATTAAAAACAAACAGATTATATTATTATTATTAGTATCTAATATTAAGCTTTTGATCTTTCCGAACAATTCTTTCTTTATCTTTGCATATATCTAAAGTATAACTGAAATGACAAGAAATAATTTAATACGAGAATTCATTAATAAATTCATTTATTAAATTGTGAAATTTATGAACTTAAAAAAATTATTATTCAATAAGTTAGAAATGAAATTTTTAAAATATTTATTATTTAATTTTCTCACACACAAAAAAAAAATTTTCGTTTTCTTTTTTTTTTTTTTTTTGTAATTAACTTAAACATTAGAAGAATAAATAAAATGAAAAGAAATGAGTATTTTATATGAGTGTAATAATGGAATGAATAAATTATGCACAAATATATACAATAAAATTAAATCAAAATTGCATCAAAACATTTAGCATTGATTCTAAAATATTTAAAAGAATTATTTAGATAATAAATTTTTTATTAAATTCTCAAAATACGTACATTTTTTAGTAATTGCCTATCATTAAATGATTCATTTTGTTGTAACAATGCGGAATTTTCCAAATTGCTTAGAACAATAATTCGATCGTTTCTGCGCAAATGTTCATCCTTCTTTAATTGTTTGAATGTATTACTTAATGTAATACCAAAATGTGACAGTAATGTGCTACAGCAACAACCACAACAGCTTAAATAATAAATAGAAATTAATATCTAATCTGAATAATTGAGTAATTAATTATGCAAATTTGAACTGCTAATCACTTTATCTATGAAATAGTGAAATTCTTGGAAATAATTTTTATTAATGATAAAAATTATTTGTATATGATAATCATAATCATATATTTATATCATGGTTATCAAGTTTAGATTTTATTTGAAACAAAAACATATTTTAACAATTATTTATTGCAAAATTTTTTTTCTTCTTTTTTTTGAAGTTTTTAGTATGTTAATTAATGAATTTTATATGATAATATTTTGGTAGAATTTACGGAAGAGAATTTATTAAATAGTTTAGCAATAAATTATTACTTATCAGAATGTGAAAAATTAATTTGCTGGTGAAAAATTTTGATTAATTAAAGAGTAAATAACTTTTTTTTTTTGTTTTATATTTTTGTTTTCAATTCTTAAATTATAATTAACTGAGATAAATGAAAGAAAGTAATTTTGCTTGTAAAAGTTATTTATTTATGAGGAAAAGAACGAACACTGAACAATTTCTACTTCAAAAAATTTCGAAAAATTTTTTTTGATATATTTGCTAATCTCTTGAAAAAATTATTTGTTCTTGGAATGATATTTCAACTATTCGAGTTTACAATCAATTAAATGAATGATCTTTGATTCTAAATTAATTTTATATTTCACATTAGATAAATATATTACAAAATTCATAACTCACTAACCTTTCTAACCAATATCATACTTTAACAAGTTTTAAGTAATAAAATGAAAAAATAAAATTGCATTATTACCTTAAAATGTTCTATTTTAAAACTTAAATTTAAGCAATGTAAAATTGATTAACGAAGAATTTAGACTGAATGTAGTAAATACATACTACTTTTTATGAAATATTATTTGTTATAAATACTATTCGTTATAAAAAAAAAAATAAAACTATTTATCACAAAATTTGCAAAATTACAAAAATTTGTCATAAAAAATATCACAAAAATTTGCCAAAAAAAAATTTAAGGATAAACTAATTGATGCCATTATGGTATTTTTAAAAGTTGTCCCACATAAGATAATAAATCGTTTTTTTTTTTCTTGAAATCAATATCTTATCAATTAATTGAAATTATCACAAAAAAGAAAATGATATGAAATGATGGAATAATTCTTACCCTGATATGATAAAGATATATATGAAACCAAGTAAAATAATAATGAATAATATTGGTGCAATAATATTTTTAAAAATCCATGAGCAAACTTCTCCAAGTTTTATGAGAATTTCATCAAAACCATCACTAACACGATTTGGTACCTCAGAGAAAAAACCTTCAACCTAAATTATCAAAAATAAAAACCAAAAAAAAAAAAAAAATCAAATTTGGATTAAAATTTGAATGATTTTTTTGTGGAATTTTTCTTTTTCTTTTTAAAAAATATTTCACAAATTATAGGTGTCCAAAAAAAAAAACATTTCTTTGCTAAAATTAATTCAGCTAAAATAATATAATTATTTAATTGATACAATAAAATGAATTTAATCATTATCATTGCAAGTATCATAAATGAATATATATGTCTTTGTTGCATTTATCACATCAATGAAACTTATAAATTAACAATATTTAATTAAAATTGAAAAAAATTTTTTTTTGAAGCTTTTTTTTAAGCAAATCTATTACAAATGATAATTGTCAAAAATTATGACTAAAATTTGAAAGCTTAATTTTTCAAAAACTTAATTTATTTCATTTCATTTAAAAAAAAATAAAAGAATGGTTAATAATTTGAATGCAAAAGTGACAAATTTACTTCATCACCAGCTCCACGTAATGTTGTTTCGGCTGTTTTCATTACCGTAGCTTTCAACTTTTCGCCGCTACTTTTCAAATTTTTTGCTACCATACTAAAAACATCCTTTGATTGTTCAACAAAATTCTGCGCGCTATCAAATTTTTTACCAATTTCTAAAAAGTTATGACATTGTAAAGTTGAAATTGTTGAAAGTTGAAAAAAACAAATTGAATTTTTATTTTTTTAACCGTTCAATTCAATCAATTAAATATCTAATTATTGTATAATAATAATTAACAATGAATTAATGAATTCTAAAAAATTCATTATGTTTCTAAATGATTTGTTAGGTAATTTAAGTATTAGAAAATTGCTCTTTCAACAAAAATTTCTGCAACAAAATTCGTCGTTTTAGCTTTTACATAAATATATTGGAAATCACATTTTCAATTAAACTAAACGAAATTTCAATGAGATTTTTAACGGAAATGTTAGAATTTAAATTTAATAACTCTTTGTCCTCATCAAAATCATATTTTTCTTCAAATTTAGAAAAGTTATTTTAACGACACACTAAAGTATAATCTGGATAGAATATTAATGACAATAGTAATTATAATAATAATATTAGTAGTAAAACTAATGATGACAATAATAATAATAATGATAAATGATGATGAATCAATGCATTTTAAAATAAAGAAAAACAAAATTATTTGGATTATATTTGTTTAATTTCAATAAATTTTTGTGTCATTTCAATATTTTATACATCGGAAAAAATATGAAACTTCAATTTTATGAATATAATTTCTTTTCTTAGTTCCAATAATCAATTTTTTTCTGATTTTTTTTTTCAAAATTTGGAGTTTGCTTTCTTTTTCATTTTAAAAAATTATATATTGAGAATTGTTAAATTCAGAGCTGAGAGCATATCTGTAACATAGTTTTATTAATTTTTTAAAGATTAAGGAAAAAAAAAACTTTGAATTATTCAAATAACTTATCAACTGGGAAGTTCCAATAACAATTAGCGTATCAGTTATAAATTTCTTCCGATGGTAAGTTATTTTATAATTTAAATTACAAAACAAAGTTAAATTGTAATTGCCAAAGATCAAAAAGTTTAAAGCTTAAAATAACAAATGATCCGTTGTAAAAATTCGTCAATTATTAAAATTAACGTCAAAAGAATAATTTTTGTTAATTAAAGTTAGCTGTTTTTTTTCTTTGGAATTATTAAAATTCAAATGTTTTTTATCAAAATAAAATAATTGAAAATAAAAAATTAACAAACCATTCAAAAATTGATTAGATTTTTCACCAATTTTTTGTTGTGTTTGCTCAAAGAATTGTTTCATACTTTCTGTCCATTCATCGGTTAAAAATGACATTGCATTTGCGCCAACAATTAATGTTATCAAGAAATTAATCACTAAACACATATCTAAAATTGATTTATTTATTTGTTTATTCTTTTTTAAAATTAAATTAACATTAAAAGATTTGTTTTTTTTTTTTATAAATTACTTAATAATTTATTATACAAAGGCTAATTTCCGGAATGTAAATAATACTAAATGTAATGATTAAAATTATATAATAATCTATTTATCACTATCATTAAATAGTAATAGCAAATTAAATTAAATAAGTATGATAAATACATTCAACTTTAAAATATTCCATTGATCATTTAATTTTTTTCTGATCTTCTGCAAAAAAGGAAGAAGGAAATTTTAAACCGGTTTAACGGAACAGTTGAAATAAACTCAAACCGGTTTATTGGAACGGTTGAAATAACCTAACGCTAACATAATCCATAATTCCGTTATATAATGAATTTAATAAAAATTTGCTTACCGTAATAAATGATATACAATCATGCGATTCCTTTAGTTGCAATAAAAAGTTGACAATAAAATGTTAATCGGAAAAGGCGATAGTTGACACATTAATTTTAATGAATTGATCCATTCCCTAACATTGTCACTTTTTTCCTGTATGTTTCCATTCAGGCGGAATATCTATACGTTTGATATTTTAGCACTTTAAAAAAAAAAAAAAAAAAAGATGTTTGAGTAAATAAAATTTTTAAAGTAAACAATTAATTTAAGCGTTTGTAGCTTACTTACAACAATTTAATATTTTAAAACAAATATTTGACAAATAGCGGAACGATTCTTTGTTAATTGTTAAACAATTAGCAAATAATAATTACAACAAATCATTCTTTAAATAAACAAAGGAAGAATAAAGAACTTAAAATATTATAAATAATTGATAAAGGTAAGAATTTGAAATTATTCAAGTTGAAAATTAAAAATGAACAAAAATTATTGCTGTATTATTTTTGCTTTAGCACTACTGCTTTATATTTTTTGAAACTTGTTTATGTTGTGGTAAATTTATGAAAGTTTTACTTTCGTATATTTGCAATGTTTGAAATTGAAATTTGAGTTTGAAATTTGAACAATAATGGACAAAAATAAATTTAACTCAATTAAAAATAGCTGTGTGATTTAAAATGTATATTATTTGTAACATTTTATAAATTAAGAATTTTGGAAATATTTTTTTATGTCTTATTTAAAAGAATCAGTAAAATGAGAGATCAATGAGAAAAGCTTTGTTCAAATTCATTAAATGCTTAATGATTGATATTTTAAATTTGCTTATAATTCAAAATGGTATTACACTTTTCAAAATAATTCCCAGAATGTCTTAATCCATTCGATTCTTCAATTAAACATTATATTAAAACTCAATTTCATGAAAATAAAATCATATAATTATTTGGGAAGTAAAGATATGATAATTTCACTTATTAAAAAAATTACATAAATTATTTCACAAATAACAGAAATTTTCGCAACCTTAAGAAATTGAAAAGGATACTTTGTTATTCGAAGGCAATTAATTCTAAATATATTATTTATCATTTTGATAACACTACAACTGTTCTTTCTTTTAATATTTATTTGTAAAAAAGAAAAAATTATTTATTTTTTAAAAGCGTAAAATTCACTGCCAGAAAATGTTATCTAAAGTTAAAATCTATAGTTTGTCACTTTTTTTCAGCATTGGAAATATCATCAAAAAAAAGGACGAAAAGTCGATATAAAGTTATTAACAATGAAGTTTAGTATCATTCACAAGATAATAATATTTATTGATGAATCATTGAAAATAAAAAAAAAAACTTTTCCATTTTTTGATGTATGTTATTTGGAATATATTTTTGAAATTGATCCCAATAGCATGAAATTACTAACTTGTTATCATTATACTCATTAATAAATATTTACTTTAAGTTATGAAAATGACAAAAAACATTTATAAATAAGATAGCATTGAATTTCTCAGTAAAAAAGCAGAACCTTAAGAGAGGAAAATGAAATATTTACAACAATATTTGATCTATAAAAATACATTTATATGTGATTTTCGACAGAAAAAATTTTTTTTAAAAAAAATGGCTAATGAAATGCTTCTGATCAGGAGATAATTTATTAATAAATGAACTGATGATGATAATCTTGATTAGGAAATAGCAATAACAATGATGATGGTGATAACAATAACGTAGTGGAAGTGAAATGATGATAATGCCGTTAATAACAATAGTAATAATAACAATAATTTTGATGACAATGACGATAATGGTGGTAGCAACATGGTGGAAGTGGGATGGTGACAATAATAACAATAGTAATAATGATGATAATAATAATAATGATGGTAATGATGATATAAGTAACGTGGTGTAAGTGGGATAATGATAATGCTATTAATAATAAAAATGATAATATTAATAACAATGTTGTTGGCATTGATGATGATAATGCCGGTAATAGTGTTAGCAATAGCTAATTCGAAGCCTTGGAAAATTTTAAATAGCTAATAATATAACCAAATGCAATGCGCTTATTCCATTATCTCTTAATTTTTAAAATTTCTTCATTTTTCAATTTTACATTTAAAATGTTTGCAAAAAAATATCAGAAAATATTTGAAGTTATAATTTATAAAAAGTATATAACAGTATAATGATAAAAATGTTAACAATATGGTAAAAAAATGCTAACATTTGATATTATTACAGTAATAAAAGAAAAAAGAAATGAAATTTTTGCAAATATTCAAAAAAAAAGAACGATGAAAATTGATTATTAATTTTATTTTTAATTACTCTGTACTTAACAGTCGAATTAACAATTAATTTTTTTCTTTTTTTTTGAATGAACGGTATTTAAGTTGGCATAAAATAAAGTAAACAAATAACATAAAAGAAATTCTTTACCTAACATTAATCAATAAACAATCTATAAAGTTTCAAAAAAAAACAAATGAAAGAAAAAGTTAATAAATATTTAAGCATTTAAAATAAAATTAACATTGTTACTAAAAATAAAAAAATATAAATACTATTTGCATTTGATAAACATACATATACATTAGATTGCAAAATAAAATGCAGTACATGCATGCATGCATGCTTTACATACATTGCTATAATATTTATTTCAAAAATTTCTTTTTTTTAAAAAAAAAAGAGATATAATGAAAGAAATGAAATAATAATAAAAATTTATATATATTATACAAATGGAAGAAAAAAAAAGTAAGAATTTAATCTGTCACTTTTTTTTTTAGTGCTTTCATTTCATTTTTTCTTTTTCTGTTCACAACGAAAAATGTTTCGTTGAACTTTTTTTTTTCGTTTTATTGACAATTCAAATTCGAAATAAAAAAAAAAGGAAAAAATGATTCATTAAAATTTTTGCTACCGTTTTTACTATTTACCATTACATATTGTTACTTTATACCTTTCATTTTTCCTTCATATTATTCTTCTTTTGCTCATACTTATTTGTATTATTCTCTCTCTCCCTCTCTCTCTCTCTCTCTCTCTCTCTATTCCCTCTCCAAAAAAAAAGAAGGAAAAAACCACTTCAAAATTTTTGAATGTTTCACTCTCTCTCTCTCTTAAAAAGAAAATGATCAAATATTATAATTGCATTTCTCGATGTTTTGATTTTCTCTTAAAAAAAAAAAAAAAAAAAAGAAAGAAAAATCATTTTTTCCGATGAAGTTTTAAAAATTTAACTATTTGTAAACTTTCATTAAAATGTGAAATTTTCATCAAAATTCTTTCAAATTCTTGATAATTTTTTTTTTTTTTGAAAAAATAAAAAAAAATTAAAAAGAGATTGAAATTTGAGTATTCATTTGAAAAAAAAATGATGCAAAATTAAACTTTGCAATGCTTTTTTTTTTCTTTTGAAGTTTGCTTATTTCTTTTAAGCATTTACATTTTAAAAACGGATGCAAAAGTTTAAAAAATGTTATTCCGTTAAAGTTTTTTCTTTTTCTTTTTTCATTTTTCATTACTACAATTTTGCTTTATGAATAATATTCGAATAAAATATCAGTTGTACAAATAAAAAAAAAGAACACAAATTGATATAATACAAATAGCATTTTCTAAAAATAAAATAGTATTTTTCACATTTTTTTTTTTCATAAAATTTTTTGAAGGAAAAATTTGTAACAAAGAAGAAATAGCATAAATGAATATTTTAATTAAATAATATATTTGTTAATTTTAAATATATAATTAGATTACAACAAAGATTCTTTTTGAAAATTTATTTTTCAAAAGTAATGAAAAAAAAATCCTTCTCAAAGTTATTTAATTCTTTAGTATCAGAATTAAGTTTTATAATTATTATTCAGATAATAAAGCATTATAATAATACTTATTGAAAATTAAAAATTAGATAACATATATGGAAAATTAGCTTTGTAAAGAACTAATTTTAACATTTTAAAATTTTGAATGTATCGTTTTTGGCAACAAATTAAATTGAAAGTATTTCTATTAATAATGCAAATTAATAAGATAAATAAGTGAAAAAAATAGAGAAAAAAATAATTCTTTATCATTTTTTATATTAATTTATCTATTTAAAAAATCTTTATAATACTTTGAGTAAAATTTTATATGTTACTCTCAAAAGAAAACTTTTTCATGTTGTTTAAGTTACGCTATTTTAAGTAAATATTTAATTACCCTTCAATTGAAAAATGTTTTTCAAGCAGAAAGTTGCTTTAAAATTAAAATAAAAATTAATTAATGCATAAAATGAATGTCATATTAAAAATATATTGCTGAAACTGAATAGATTTTTTCTTCAAAAAATGAATTTTAATTAAACGTAAATTTGTTCAATTTATAAAAATTTTAAATGCCATAAATTAATTTATGATAAATTGCTTTGACAATTGATATGATTTTTCCATGAATTAATATTTATCAAAAAACCGGAAATTATTGACGAATCAAATGTTATCAACCGGTAATAATGTTAGCAACGGTATTTTTTTTTTATTTTTCTCAAATATTAAAAGTAATATATTTGATGAAATAACTTGTGATTAA